CGTCGAGATTGCGAGGAAGATCGCACGCCAGACGGGCGTGCCGGTCGATTCGCTTCCCGACATGTTGGCAATTAAGATCAGGATCATGATATCACATGTGCGTATCAAGGCAGGTGAGCTATTGTCGAACCAAGCCCGAGAGCGGCTTCCAGCAGGGCTGCTACGATTGATGGCAACGATGACGTCCCGAGCTTCCCGCCCCCCGTCACGGTCCCCGACATCAGATGGCCAGAGGAAGCTGGATCGCCCGCATCCGTTTGTTCATTTTCGAGCAGGCGATGGTGATGGTGATGGTAGTGATGGTGGTGGTAGCGCTAGTGAGGAGCCTGTGAGGCCTATCTTCTGCATGTTCGATGGGTCGTCTGTGCGATGCGTGCTGTCTGATGGGGCCCGACTGCCTGCGAGCAGCTACCTGAAGGATCCGTCTGGGTTTCTCGCTGCAAAGTTCGACAATATCGAAAACGAGGCGGGCGAAACCTACACGTACGTGACTGAACTGACTCACGATTGGTTAGCCGAGGACGGTACCCTGAAGACCCCCGTGGTGATGAGAAGGCCATCCGCTAAGCCCAAGAAAAAACACAGAAAAAACCTGGTGCCGCCGAGCCCCGAGAGGACGAGGACGACGCAGGAGAGGATGAGGCGCACCACGAGGAGGAAGAAGAGGAACAACTTGGGACGGATGAGGCGGAGGAGGTAGAGGGCGCAGGAGAAAAGGAGAAGACCAAGGGGAAGGCTAAGGCGAAGGGCGAAGCGAAACCGAAAGCTAAACACGCAGCGAAGAAGAGGCCAGCTGCTGCAGCCCACGGGAAGCTTAAGCGACCCGCAGCAGCGCCCAAGGCCATCGGGGGGTGGAGGGATGTCTCAGAATTGGGAGGACAGGAATGGAGGATGGGCTCCGCATCTCGCATCTCGAATTGCGGAGCCCCTCCTCCCTGCCAGTCGTCTCAAATCTTGACGCCATCGGTCGCCCTGTCCCCCCAACCAGGCAGAGGACCCTGCGAAAGGCGTTTTGAACGGGAATCTGGTGTTCTACATCGCCAATGGGCATGATAGTGCTTCCTGCTTGTTCATTAAAGAGTGCGGCGGGAAGAAAAAGCAGTTCTTGGAGATTCGTTCGTGCAATGCCGATGCGTCCCCTGAGGAACGATCTAGAGAGACATACGTCCGAGCTGACACGATCTTGTCAACGATCAGGGAGCCGATAGCCGAGCTGCTACAGCACTGCCATAAGCTTGATGATATCACGAATGAGGACCCTGGGCCCGAGCAACACGCGCCCCTCTTTCACTCCTGAGCCCCCCCCCTCGAGCTACACATGGGGGAACGAGGAGATGAAATCGAACGTGACCCCCCACTCGAGGATATGGAGAAGGTCAGGGAGCTTGCGAGGGCCGCGAGGAACGCCATTGTGGATGTGGACTGAGATAGCTGATATAAATAAGCGGCCCCCTCTGCCCATGCACAGGCCGATCATTGGCCTTGCGAAAACAAGCTTTCGTCCCAGCACGGAGGCCGACGAAGAGGGCATGGATCGAGTGAGGAGGGAGAGGACCGAGCAGGCAGAAGGAGCGCGAGGCGTGAGGAGGACCAGGAGAAAGCTAAGAGGAATACAGGTGAGGAGAGTGATGAAAAGGAGAGGCGAGTGGTGAGGAGGAAACGCATGAGAGGGAAGAGAGTTCGGAAGAGATGTAAGATCCCCCCTCGCAGCCGAGTAGGAGAAGGAGGAGGAGGGAGGAGGGGGGAGGAGGAGGAGGAGCAGGAGGAGAAGGAGGCGGAGGAGGAGGAGGAGGAGGGCGACGAGGAGGAAGAGTGCATGCCTGCTGCCGCCCCCTCTCCAAGCACCAACACCACTGGCACCAACTCCCTGTCCCGATTCCCGCCCTTTCTTTCCCACTTCTGGAGTCCTCAATCCCATTCCAACCCTATGATCCAGCCGCCTCGCCCTCCCAAAGCAGCCCGTGCATCTCAGGCATTCTGCTGCAACGTCGTCGTGCCCGCGGATTGCAGCCCATGGAACGCAGATGACAATTGGGGAGACCGCGTTCTTGCAGGGCCCAGGGATCTTGCATTTCGTTGAAGTCTTTTCGTACAGCCAGGGCGCCTTGGCGAGTGCTGCTATGGGGGAGGGTCTGTATACGTATTGCATGGATCGGACCATGGATATCTCAAGCTACGCAACGTTACAGACATTCGAGGGGTTTCGGTCATTGCTTTCTTGGCTGCTACAGGTCGCGCCTCGCCAAAACCACCCCACCCCCCCCTGCAGGGCGGGCTGTCCTCTATCTCGATCTGAGGGGGGGGGGGGGGGGACAGCCTCTCCCCTGGCTGGATTTAGAAGGGGGGGGCGAGTCAGGATTTAGAGGGTAAGCCAGGATCCAAGCCCTAGTGGGGCTCGCCCCCCTTTGCACACCTCCCCGAAAGGTGAGACCTGGGGGTATTGTATGGTGGGCGCCAGATTTTACCATCTGGTCGAGATCGCGCTCGCCGACTCGCTGGGACAACTGGAGGGCTGATGCTAGTTCGAACGAGGTGCTTCTGACCCCCCCGACCCCGCGCATAGAGGGCGACGGCATGAGCCAGACCGACAGGAATGCGAACCTACTTTTGAGACGGATCAACTTTCTCATCAGGGTGCTGCACAAAAGGGGAGTTCACAGCGTGATCGAACAGAGGGCGGGGTCTATCATGTTGTCTCACCCCCTAATTTCTCGGACTTTGATCGACCTCGGCTTCTTCGCGACGCAAGTTGATCTTTGTAGATTCCTGGGGCCCTCTGATGACCAGCCTACGGCAAATACTTTGATTACACTGTGGTCAACTGCCTGGTGGATAGCAGGCTTCGGGGGCCTAGTCTGCAATTGCAAGAAAAAGCACACATCGATTCGCAAAGATGACCTCCGTGCCTTTAACTATCCTACCAGATTCTGCACCGCGGTCATCAAAGCATACATGGCGACCCTGTACGTGCCGAATCCCATGCCAAACTTACCCCAAGGGTCGGACAGGGGAGGGGAGGGGGGGGGGCGTAGCGTGCAAAGGGGATGGCAGCGTGGTGAACGCCGAGGGCTGAGGGGCTAGGCCCAGCGCGGCATTAACCGAGCTGGTCGCAACCTCTCAGCCCTCGCTGTATCATCACTCTCCTTCCCTCGAGGGGTGACCAGGGGAGGTGGCTGGTGACTAAGAAGCAGATGCAACAGATCGGGACCGCTTTGATGCGCACCGTCCTCCCATTCGGCGTTCCTTCATTCGAGGAGTGCAGCCCGCAGATGCCAGTTATTGAGGAGCAGGCCTCCTCATCCTCCCGCCACTTCCCCTCCTCCTCCTCCACCTCCTCCTCCTCCTCCTCCTCTTCCTCCTCCTCCTCCTCCTCTTCCTCCCCCTCCTCCGCCTCCTCCTCCTCCTCATCCCGCTGATCCTCCTTCGGAAGGCAACGAGTGGGGCGGCTGCTCTTTCAGATGGGACTGGCTACACAACCCCTAAGCGTATGAGGCTGAGCACATCGAGCCCAGGTTCGAGCTCCAGTCACGTTCGTGCCTTGTTCGACGGGAGCTCTGGCGGAACCTTGTCCTCTTTCGATTGCCCCTCACCCAAACACCCGCGGCACCGAGGCAACCCTGGAAGAGGATGGGGAGGAGGACGGAAGGAGGAGGAGGAGGAGGAGGAGGAGGAGGAGGAGGAGGAGGGGGAGGAGGAGGAGGAGGAGGAGGGGGATGAGGATCGCCCACAGGAGCCCTGGCATTGAGACGGAGCCCACCCTGGATCCCTCCGAAGACACTCCGAAGGTGATCTTCTGAGCCTGCAGGCTGACCTTGAGGTTCGCCGTGCGCGCCTCGGAAGTCCGAGAACCCCCAGTGACAAAAAAAACCTCGAAATGACAAAATTTTGTCATTTGCTGTGAACCATAGAAAAACACATGGTTTCGTCAATATGACGCTGGTGACAAACTTTAACATAATTTTGTCATTTTTCAAAAACACTGTAAAAACACAGGTGAAGTACATGTTTTTGTCACCAGATAAGAACTTTTGTCACCCCTCGATATTAAGGAAACCCTGTAAAAACACATGTAAAGTCAATGTTTTTGTCACTCAAGAAGACGAGGTGACAAAAAAAACACAGCAAATGACAAAATTTTTGGGGTGAAGCTGCGACGACCCTGGGTCTCCTGGAAGCTCCTGGGATCCATCGAACTCAAAGCCGATCGGCCCGAGAAAGAGACTTCTCCCCCGCGGTGCGGCACCTTCCGTCCCCGCCATGGGCAAGCGGGGCGCGCCCACCGCCGTCAAGGAGGAGGACCCCAAGCAGATTAAGTTGCCCCCCGCCCTCGCTAAGATCAAGACTGAGTCCAACGGGGACGCTGCGACCATGACTGCCATGCTCACTTCTATGAGTAGCACGGACCGAATCCCTCTCCCTCGACCCCCCCTCCTGGCTCCGGGGGGCCGGCACAAATTCCACCATCTCCTCCTCATCCCCCTCCTCCTACTCCTTCCTCCTCCCTCCTCCTCCCCCTCCTCCCTCCTCCTCCCTTTAAGCAGGACATTGCTAAACTCGTGGGCGCATTTATGCAGATCGGGGAAGATGCCGAGCCCCCTTCGACCTCGGCGGACCTCGACCATACAGCTCTTTTGGAAGCTAACGCGTGGGTGTGGGACATGCAAGAATTAGAGGCAGAGCTTAAGGCGTTGGAGAAAGACGTGACAGAGGAAACGAACCTGTTGGCCGAGATTCAGGCCATGAAGCAATTGTTTTCACAACTGCAGGCGACAGCTTGCAAAACAACTCTGATCCCCCCCCCTCCCCCCCCCTCCTCCTCCTCCTCCTCCTCCTCCTTTCCCTCCTCTCTGCTTCCTCTTCCTCATTATCCTCCTCCTTCTCCCATTTTTTTCAAACTCGGTTGAATAAAAACTGTTCCATACCCTCCTCCTCCTCCACCTCCCCCTCCTCCGCCTCCTCCTTTTTCCCACCGCGAGGAAAGAAAGAACCCGTTCGCTTCCATGGGGTACTACCTCAAAACCAAGATGCCGAAGGCCCACTCCGAGTACAGCAAGCCTGGCATGCCAGACGCCGAGAAGATAGCTTGGCTGGTCCGTTTCACTATGGACCCATCATCTGGCGGATGCAAGGGGACGACGTCAACCGAGATCAGCAGGGAGACCGAGAGCGGCGTCAAGGATATATGGGTGACTCAGGACCAACTGGCTGGACCACTCTACTTGAACAACAGAGCCCACGCCGACGCCATGATCAAAGACCTCGACTCGAGACCTCACAAACGTAGTAAAACTCTGAGGGATATGGGTGTACTTGAATACCACCTGTTCCTCGACGCGGAGGGGAAAATCATCGACCGCACCAAGGACACCACGAGCGTGGCTGCAGAAGTCGACCTGTCTACAGACGAGTACACGCAGATCCGCGACGCTATGAGGCAAGGCCTGGGCGGCAGTGGTTTGGGTGATCCAACGGCGGCGAGCAGCAACCCCAAGAAGAGCAAGGAAGCCAGGGAGCAGCTGAAGCTCGAGAACGAGAAGAAGGCCCTGGCTGACTGGCAAGCGAAGCTCGCCGACCTGAGCGGGGATGAGAAGAAGGCCGCGATCATGGAGAAGCAGAGGCTCGACGCGAAGAAGCAGTTCGACAAGGCGTACTCGGACGCGACCACCAAGGTGAACGGGTGGCGGAACATCATCGAGACCAAGGTCCCCCAGACCATCAAGACTTTGGATGCGAAGAAGTACCCGAAGGAGATGTCCGCGCACATCCAGAAGCAGGCGAAACAGGCGATGCCACCATCCTCCTCCTTCTCTTCAATCCCACCTCCCCCCGAAAACATTCTTTGAGGTTGGCGAGCAGCTCACGATGTTCATTGCGACCACCCTGGCTGCCAAGCCGACGGGCGACCTGACCGCCGAGGACTACGAGAGGGGCGCCAAGGAGGCGCAGGCGAAGCTCCAGGCTATCACCGATGTCTGGAAGGACTGGGAGAAGAAGGTCTGGAACGACTGGAAGTCCATCGGGTGCAACTCGGAGTGATCGCTGATCAGGTGGAAATGAGTGAACGTCTCACTCGTGTTTTGATTCCCCAGCCATCGGGGTAGCTGGGAGAACATCGTGCGATCGCCGTGTGGTTTCGATCAATCATCGAATCCATCAGCGGCCAGCCCCCCGAGGCGGATGAGGATGAGGGGGAGGGGGAGGAGGAGGAGGAGGAGGAGGAGGAGGAAGAGGAGGAGGAGGAGGAGGAGGAGGAGGAGGAGGAAGCGGATGGGGAGGAGGAGGAGGAGGAGTAGGAGGAGAAGGAGGACGAAAAAGAAAGGGAGAAGGGGGAGGAGGACGGGGAAGAGGAAAACAAAGTGGACGAGCATCCGCCCCGTCCCCACAGTTCTACAGCGAGCCACGGTTTACAACCCTCGAGGCCCTGGGAGGCCGCACGAACGGTCCTTGGGAGCCACGCGAAACAAACTTCAGGAAACGAACGGGGGACGAAACTTCGGCATTCAGTTCCGCAGGCGTTTTCGGTCGAGACTACATGCCAGGTGTCAGGCAACGCCTTTTTGGCAAACACACGACACCTAAGACAGGTGAAACCTCCCTCCTGCTACATCAGTGGTGGCGCGATGGTCGGCTCTCTGCTCCCGAGGTTGGCAAAGGGGCCAGGGCGCAGGTCAAGGACAAGATACTTTGCCCAACAGCTCGCAGGTGGAGAAAAGTAGGAGCGAAACCCACCACGCGAGGGAACGCTCACAGAGATCTAACCCGACACCTGGAGAAACGACGCTGGTACCCCCCACCATATCAGGCCAAAGTACCCTTGTGGGACCGCCGAACAAAACGACAGCATCGACGCTTAGTGAATTTTCTCCTTCTCCCAGAGATTTTGGATCGCCTAGTGCCGCAGGGCGAGGAGGCAGAGTGGTCTACCTACGGAGATGGCCAAGAAGGTCTACACCGTGCTGTATCAGACTGGGCTGATCGAGTCGGCACCTCTGACACCGCTGGACTACTTGCATGTAGTCTTTGGGGAGACGGCGCTCCGTATCATACTCGTGACTCGGTGATCCTCTGGACCCTGACGGTGTTGAGCGGCAGGCGCGCCTGCCACTATGTAATCTCCTTTTTGCTCTGTTGATGCGAGGGTGTCGGGAGAGGTGGATCTTAGATAGCGTGCTGGGGCTCCTTCTCTTCCTCCTCATCCTCCTCCTCTTCCTCCTCCTCCTACCTCCTCCTCCTACCTCCTTCTCCTCCTCCTCCTCCTCCTCCTCCTCCGGCCTAAACAATATCGGAGCAGCCGCGGATCCGCCTGTCCCAACCCCTCGACAGGAATCGACGCCGATTCTGGTTCGTGTGTTTCGGCAAGAGGTCCGTCTGCGACTGCGGCTGCCAGGGCCGCCACACGTTTGCAGAGGTTCCTATTTAATCGACTGGCCTCCCGAACCCATCTCACCCCAACTTCAGCTTCCCCTCTTCCGTCTTCCTTCGCTCCCCATCCCCCCCTCGTTCTCATGATCTCCAACCTCCTCCATTGCTCTTTTTTGGAAGCTCCGTCCTGTGCCACCTCAGGTCTGGAAAGTGCTGGGCTGGATGTTCACTAGTTTTATGGCTGGTGTGCATCCTTTGAGAAGGCACGACGGATCAGATTTTGCAACTTCAGGGCTCCGTGGAGACCGCGACCGAGCCAACAAAGCTGGACAACCGTCGAGATTCCGAGGGTGTTGCGTAGATTACCGAGGGGATTGGGAATGGCTGAAAAAAGTTTACGGGGTTCAGGGGTGGAGCAGGTGTACGGATGGTGCTCATGTAAGGTGCTGCTGGAGGTGCCCATGCACAGTTTCACAACTTCCAGATTTTTCGCTGGCGGCTCCGTGGCGGCAGGGGGAATACTCGACAGAAGATTATCTGCAGATGCTGCTAACAGACAGGCAGGATCTTGTAACGGACCCCCTGGCTGTCCCTGGCTTCAGCTGGGCCATGATCAGGCCTGGGCTTATGCACAGCGGATGCTTAGGAGTAGCTCAAGATACGTTGGGCAATATTCTATGGGAGGTGTTCATTGAGCTTGGTGGGAAGCGAAATGCTGCCCAGGATACTTTAAATATCATCGACAACATGATCCTTATGGCATCTCGTGCCCTGGATACTAGCCCGCCTATTCGCCATTTCACACTTGGAATGATTCGCACGTCAGGGCCGAAGCCCCCGAGGCTTAGGGCGAAAGCTGGTGAGAGCCGTTACCTCCTGCCCATCGTTCCCCACGTGCTCGAGAACTTTCTTCCATCGGAGTCGGCCCACGCTCAGACTAGGATGCGACAGGGTGGGGGTAAGTGGTTTCCCAGTGGTTTCCCATCGCCCCCTGCTTTAAAACATGTTTGTAGATTGGGGGGGGTACTCGTGTTGGAATCAGTTTCGCTCAGGACCAACTGCCTGCGCAACCTCGTCTGGGTGTACAAGACGTTGGAAACGGAGGACAGGTCAAACCTAGACGTGTATGGAAGGCGTTTTTGCTTGTTGTACAGACAGTTGTGGGCAGCGTCCAAGTCGGACGTGTTCTGGCGCCTCAAGCCGAAACACCACATATTTGTGCACATCTGCGAGGAGGTATCGTTCGGCAACGCTCGGGACCGAACGTTGTGAATTGCACGGCCCATCAATTGCCCCATGAGCCCTCGGAGGCCCCCCCAAGCCAATCTTTCGGCATACCCCCCTCCGCCAATATATGAAACGGATCCCGAAGGAACATTGGGAGTACTACGATGAGAGTACAATTGGGGAGTGCTCTGAGCTCGCAGAATCTTTGCACCCGAGCACCTTGCACGTTTCGCTTGTGGAGAAGCACAGGCATGGTTTTCTCGTAGAGTGAGAGTGAACAGGACGACTAGGCCAGATGCAGCATGCAGCAAATCACCATCCCTCATCCTCTCCCTCCTCCTCCACATCCTCCCCCCTCCTCCTCCTCCTCCTCCCCCTCCTCCTCCTCCTCCTCCTGTGTCCTCCTCGTCCTCATTCGTCCCTCGAGAGCCTTGATGTCCGAGGACGCCAGGACGCCGTCGTAATGCTGTTGACGGCTGGAGGGGACTAGGAAGCAGAGGAAGAGGAGGAGGAGGAGGAGGAGGAGGAGGAGGAAGAGGGAGGAGGATGGAGGAGGGAGCAGGAGGGAGGAGGAGGAGTGAGGGGGTGAGGAGGAGGAGGAGGAGGAGGAGGAGGAGGACGACGAGAATGATGAAGCGGAGGGAGGAGGAGGAGGAGGAGGAGGAGGAGGAGGAGGAGGAGGAGGAGAAGGAGTAGGAGTAGGAGTAGGAGTAGGAGTAGGAGTAGGAGTAGGAGTAGGAGTATGAGTATGAGTGGGAGTGGGAGTAGGAGTAGGAGTAGGAGGAGGAGGAGGAGGAGGAGGAGGAGGAGGAGGAGGAGGAGAGAGGGGATCACTAAGAGGTACCTGGGCCACGCTTCGACTGATTGCCCAGGCCACCCCGTTCATGTATACTGCAACGCTTGCACCTATGTACCATTGTCTGCAAGCTCCCCCCCCGTGACGGTGACCGCGCGGCACCCACAGCTACTGATTAGTTGGATGGGCAATGCTCGCGCAATGCCCCTTCTGGCCCGAGATGCGTGAAGTCTCGAGGATTTGGGCCCCCCCGTTGCAAGGAGGCAGGGAGGGAGGGGAACGTGGGGAAGGGAAGGATGGGAAGAAAACCGCCGTACGTGTCCAAAGGGGAAGTACGAAGCGGCCACGCAAACATCGACTGGACAAGCGCAGGAAACAGCGGAGGAGGAGGAGGAGGAGGAGGAGGATGAGGAGGGGGAGGAGGAGGAGGAGGAGGAGGAGGAGG